ATTTTCAAAAGAGCACTTTAGTGAGACATACGGCAGTCTTTTGTGTGTCAGGACTGGCATTTTTCTGAATTAAATTCCAAAGATTTACGGCAAATTTTAAGCATTTCGGCTGGCTCAAGTCGGTATGCGCAATGAAACGATTGAAAAACTCGAGAGCCAATGAAGACTGACGCTTTGGATTCTAAAGATTCAGAGAAGAGTTCGCGTCTATAACATGCATTCTTTCATATTTACCGTATTGCCCACATCTTTCAGAATCTGAATGATCTGTTCGCAAATGTGACTCAACCGTTGATGCATTTCATTAATAAAATTTTCATCATTGCCATACAAAGTATCATTCGATTCGACTAATTTCAACAAAGACTGAAGACATTCTTCGGTCAACATGAGAACATACCTTTTGGAATATGATACGGTAATGTTGATTGAACTTGTGTAGTAAGAAAACAGAGCATATTCATCAGAAGCAGCGCACGTGTTTCACTTGCTTCATCGAAACATTTCATTTGACTAATGACATTACTTAATCCATTAGCAAGATATAGAACACCGCCATCGGGATTATCCTTTTGAAAGAAAGAATAAAATTTTCTCTGCAAGTTATACATATAAAGTCGCATACTGGTACAACAACAAGTGTGCCCATGATATTAGTAATCGATTCATAGAGATATCGATCACTTGATATTGGCTTTCCTTCGATTTCAATTTGTTTTGGAAATTCAGATAGCAAAGTAATTGCGGTTTTGAGAAAGCCATCTCCTGAAATACATTATGAGAAGAAGTTACAAACGATTTCGATTTGCCCTCATCCTACCCTGTGAAGGGCTTTGATTCAAATATGCTGTTTGTGCACAAAGTGTGTATAATTGAAGTTTATGTAACGGATGTTCTAACGATGGAATTGTAATATAACAAAAAGCCATACAAGCCCGGATGAATGATGATGTAGCAGGTGAATGAACGCCATTGACATTACGGTGTGTGGATATAGCCAGTTTATTGACTTTCTATCAACGTGAGATAATTGTTAAGAACGAAAGTGTCTTTCCTTTTTCTGTTTTTCTTACTTGAATGAGTGTAATTGTAACTGAATCGATATAACCAAATAATCCACGAGCTTCCACACAAAACTTCAACTCTTGCTCAACATCTTTGCCGTAATCAACCTTTCGTATGATAGCAGATAAGAGTCCACTAACTTCTCGTAGCTCATCATCATTTGTCAAAGCTCTGTATAATGAACGATTACATTCCTGTATACGTAAACAAACCAGACTTACCCAAGTGTGTCGTGCACACATTTAGCACAATGAATCAACGCAGCTATTAACACTGGATCATTAGTTTTTTCCTGTGAGCTTCTAGACAAATAGATAAGTGATATGGTTGAAGTAGAACATCATTTAACATTCAAACCTGCTGACAAATGCATGTAAGATCGATTTGAAGATGTCTACTCGAACGTTTTCTCGTTGAAACAAATCGAGAAATGGCAAGATTTTATCCTAGTAGTAACAAGAACAGTATAATCAAACGAGTTCTTTTTCATTCAGTACCATTGAGAATAGAGCTGCAAAATCTTCGACATTTGTTAACAGTTTGATCATAATTGCGTGCAATCTCCCATAATATTCTTCGAAAGCACGATCGGGTGTTAAATGCTTGATAATATCACCTATCATAGTGTTCACTTCTCGAATCTATTCAAATGAAAAAATGACGAGAATGGACGAATGAGTTCAATCGAAGATTTTACAGAATATTCTTTGGAAGTTAATTCCGTCCATACTTCAGCGCATGCCATGTAACTCTAAAAGGAATGAGACGAGTTTTTCTACGCTTGAGTTAGAGAAAGTTCTTCTCACCGATGGATCTTTGAACTTCGTCACCACTTTCCAAACACTGCTCAGTATCTGTAAATCTGAGGGTGTTGATTCTGGCGGTGATAGGAGAAGAGATAAACCCAATGAACGATATAATATACTCTAAAATAATCTTCATTGGTACTCTCTTGGTAAAAATTGCATTAGTTTACTTTGGGAAAATATTGTTCGTCACAGTCATTGATCATTCCAATATATGTTTGTACTTTCGCACGAACATGACTTGGCGGAAGTGTGTTCAAAAGTGCATTCAATACGACACCGCCGCTAAAGCAATCAAACAAGAACATATGAATGCGACATCTTTGTAAAGTGAAACTCTCCTGCTTACCTTGGCATGTCTAAGCCTGCTTTCGTTTTATTTATCATTTGTTCGGTTTTCTTGTCATCTAGTTTATGTAATAAACATTGAACTATCCAATCTAATGCTGGTGAATATAGGGATAAATATATGCTAGTTGTTAATTTTTGCGATGCATATAGATTTTTAACAGTTGGCGTAGTTATTTGATGAAATGACTGACATAAATCTGTAAAAGCGACTTCGATCGGTTCACGATGTGTGAAATCGATATCAATAGAAACCTATGATATATTAACAGAAAATTCTAATCGATTCAATGCGTTCAAATCATAGTTACTCGACAAATATAGCAGCGAGCATAGGCAGCAACTAATGGATCACCAATACCTCGGCACATTTTGACTAATTGTACCAATGTAGATTGATAATGTCTAGAAGAATCAAAGCAAATCTAGTACTGTCGGAGAAATGAAAATGACCATTACGTTGCAGATAAGAAGTTGTAACATTTAAGAATCGCTGCTTCAACAAGAATACGTGGTAGTAATTCACGAATAATAGCGATTTTATAAAACCAATTTCGAGCAGTTTCGCGTGTTGTTTCTGGAACAAGATCAATCACAATACGATCCGCTAAGAAAAGTAAGCACTATTATTTTCTATTGAATATTTAATCTTATCTTACGAATTTTGCCATTCGGTGATGCACATTTTTCTAACAAACGTGTGTAGACCATTTTACCTAGACAAGGGAATAGAAATCATTGGATATCTTCTTTCTATCTTCCTACCAAATGTGTCCAATACATCTGTAATCAAACAGAATTTACTCGGATAGAATTCCATGACATTCATATCAGCTAATAATTTACAACACTGCAAGCAAAGTAACAGTTAGCAGAATCCGAATTAGACGAACGACTGTTCTTACTTGAATGGCGATTTTTAATGTTTTAACACGTTGATCACTTTTCCATGCTTGACTCATATCTCGGCTCATTTCATTGATTCGATTGATGTACTCCTGTTGAGTTAAACTTTGAGTTTGTTGTCCACCCTGAAACAACATAGGAACATGAGATACATAGATTTCGACAATTCAGGTACATTCTTACTTCAAATGCATCTAATTGCTCTAAGCGATTTTTTATTCTTTCCGATGTTGTGGTCATATCCGAAGCTAAATAAATAAACGGATAATATTTCCAACACAATGAACGCCTTCCTACCTTTAGAATTATCAATAGTCGATTCATCATTACTATTATTCATTGCAGTTGTCATACTGATTTTCTTGGTTGTAGAGTATTGATTTAATATCAAACTTTTCTTACTCGACCATGGCTCGAACGTATCAGGTGCTGTCGCTGCTATTTCATCAGATAATTCTTTCTTATTTGTACTAATCGCGGCAGATAATGCGCGTGACAATGGGTCGATATCTACTTGACTGATTTTCGCTGAAAGTGGATCAATAACAGGTGACGATGTCGATGTAACTGTTTGTGGTTTGCTGGCCTATAATGGAAGTCGTTGATGAAAGTTCATTCCTATGCTAAAATTTCGAGAACGTACAACAATTATACCGAGTGGATGATTTATTGTTACGGCTGTTGGTTTATTGAATTGTTTATGTTCGGAAACATAATCACGTTGTTTCGGTGTCCATTTACTTGAAATAGAAGACATCTCGATCTCGATCTCGATCAGAATCAGAGAGTTTTCTCAAAATTCGTTCGTGAGAACAAAATTCTTATCAGAACAGATACAATGACTCATACAGATGAGAGATTTATTGGTTTAAATTCATCCTTGAATTAAAAGACAGGAATGATTATTTTCAAAGTTTATTAGGGAGAAACCATTCGAGAACATGCCCGAAAATTATTCCGACTATCGAAATTTCTCATTCACACTATCCAATAATGTAATCTAGCGTCATCTGTTTGATAAGTCATGTGCTCGCGCTTTTAGTTCTTTAATAGACTATCAAGTTCGTTCTAATACCAGATGATTGATCGATTGACTTTGCTCTGTAGACAAAGACGCGCGTGTGAAACGTACCATATGCTGCATATGACCTGATAGGATATCATTTATTGTTTGAGAGTCTTTAGTTGAAAAAAAAGGGCCATATTCTTGCCAAGCAAGATGACACGCCTCTTATTAACTTTCCGAATAGAAAATTGGATTTCACAGCAATCTCACTTAAATATCAGATACTACTGGGAAGTACTGAATACTTTTACTGAATCACACATCATGTGCTATCCGATTGAAGTTATGTTATCTGTCATTCTTTTCGTTGTTTATGACTAAATTGTAATAATACCAAACAGCGATGCAAATTTCTACATATTTCTTCATCGCTGTCCAACTTCTTTGGTCATGTCATCGTATAAAATGAACTTTACCTTATGATTGTGTCTATAAACAAAGACCTGTATCGATTGACGTCAATAACGAAAATCAGTTACTATTATCCTTCGTAGCAGTACATACAACCTTGACATCGTTGTCTAATACACAAAAAATATTTTCTATTCAAAACATGATTAGAAAAAGAAACGTATATTCTCCTCTCTCGAATATGCGTCGATGTAAATTCGTTAGTTATGCGTGAATATTTAAACAATGATTAGATCTCCAAGGCCCGCTGTATAATCGTCCGTTTAGAACGAATAACGGCTACGTAATAAAAAATTTGACCCTAAAAGTACCAAACAAAAGTTACGGACTTTTTCCTATTTGAATATAATACATTGCCGCATATGTTTTCCATGTTCTCCTTCTCTGATTAAAAACGCATGTTTTGCGTCGTGATCATTGAAAAGTACGTGTTGACAGTTGATGCCCTCATATTTAACACGAGTAACACGAAAATACCCAAACGTAATAATAACAACAATTTGAACACCCACAATCTGACTATTTCAATGCGAGATTTGTTTATCGTCGAGTGTATACCTTTTTTTAGATGATTACCTCCTACGTTGTTGCTAATAGAAACACACACTTTTCTTTGCCATTGAATTTGTTTAGTACTATTAGTAAAATGCATCAAAACAGGTGTACATGAGAGAGAGAGAGCATGTTGCATGTCAATTCCAAAGATCGACTTTTTTGTCATTCTGTTTACATTATGATCGATGCCCTTTGATCACATCCTAAGAAGCGTGACAAATCTTTCATCGCGATGACTGCGAATAACATCGAGAACTTCAGTAAAATGAATTGTTGTCAATAGTCATAACGAACTGAGTCGTCTTATTGAAAAGAATGTTTTACATTTAAAACAGATTTATACGTATTGATGTCACACACCTACTTTTTAGTATCTCGTTTTGCACTTAATGCTGTCATATATATTTCAGTCTCTGTTTTACATTTCTTTTATTATATTCATTTAAAAAACGCAGAATATATTGAGCCAGTTATCCTCGTGCTTTATTTCAACAACAAAAAAAGTGTTGATCACGCACAAAGCTCGTGATATTTGGAGGCTTGGTTAACACGACCACAATGCAAAACAGAACAGACGCAAAGAAAACCCATGCAGAGTGCGCGTGATAGAGTCATACGACCTGCTCCTTATTCTTCCAAAATTTCTCTCTCTTTCTCTCGGCAATAAATAGCCAGCGCAAATTCGATTTCTCAATCATATTACAGTCTTACTATTGTGCATATAGCCACACCCCAATCAAACCGATCTTTGTCATATATTCTCATAAGTAAAATCAGGTAGGTGAAATTGCAACTTTGTTCAAATTAGTACTTCCATCCTTGTAATCTCTGCATTTCTCTCGTTTTGTTTCATTGTACATCCTCATGTAGAAGTGGATAAGGTTCACAGTTCAGAATAGATTTTCTAAACTAATGCACTTTGGTCGATGACAGAAAGAATTATCATTTGAGTTCAGTACCGATCGTACTGTACAAAGTTCTCGTTCCGATTTTCCATTGTGACATGCTAAAATCTAGGATAACGTTCTCCATTCCATAGTCCACACATCCAACGCATGCCATTAGCAGTCGCGAGCATCGATCACATGCTATCCTTGAGTTCTTACCACCAATCGTCTTTCTTCTCGTTCTCATCGCTGTATGTAACGATGGTAAAACGAACGAGATTGGAGAGGACATTTTACTGCGTGTAGAGCGCGTGATAGTTACTTCTATTCTTTCTCGAATACTATCTTCTATGTATGCAAATAGGGAGTAAAAACGTACGAAAAAGAACTATAGACGTCGAGAGAGAGAGAGCGAGAAAAGCAGAGATTTACAACGTAAATAAATACAAGGACAGTCTTTAGAGGATACTAACGAGTGCAAAACCTCTTTTATCGATATTCAACTTCGATTTAGATTATCCAGTCTAACATTATTTTTATCATGCCTTCAATTGATATAAGCGACATTTACTACCCAGTTTCATGGATCAAAACAACTACTGATCTTGTTTTGAATCTATTCAACAATCCACAGAAAACTAAACGTTCTCTACCAGAAGAAGCCGAATGCGGTTCTTTGGAAGGAATTAAATGCTGGCTTCGTGAAGGTATGTAAAGAAATATTCTGAACTCGAATGAAATTCGATTTTACTCTGACTATTTTGTCCTCTCTAGGTGCAGATATTAATGCTCCTGATGCTTATGGTTATACACCACTGATGAACGCTGCTATGCTTGGTCGACGTGATATCGTTAAAGCATTAATCGATGCAGGAGCTGATATCCAAAAGAAAGGTCAATTCGGCTATACAGCTCTTCACGCTGCCGCTCAAAATGGCCATCTCGATGTAGTTCAAACGCTTGTTAAATACGGAGCTAGTGTTAATTGTAAAAATGATGATGGAGATATTCCACTCATTCTTGGTAAGATTTATCGATTTTAAATTTACCCCATTGGAATTCGATTGATGTTTTTTTCTAGCTGTCCGTGGTACACATGCTGAAATCATTGATTATCTATTGAAAGCTGGCTCCGATATTCACCAAAATGGTTGGCTCGGACAATCAGCTGTTCACACCGCCAGTACGTGTCAAATTTCATTCGTTTTTATCGAAAAATTTAATCCGACTTGCTATTCTAGTTGCAACAGGAGACCAAGCAACAGCTGATACGTTGCTAAACCGAGAAATGATGATTGGCTGTTCATGCTCAGAATCACACCGTCATGCACGGGAGCACCTTCGACAAGCGTCGATGTCATTGGATGACTGAACATTCGAACTATTCTCAATTCGTAATCCTCCCCAATTTACCCTTGGAAAAGTAAAATCGAACAGTTCAGGTCAATTCGCCGGTGTGTTAAATATGGTTTATATGCAACAGTCAACCATCCTCATTTTTCACATGCATATCTTCTCATCTCTCTTGCTGATTCGTTTTCCTTCTCTTTTACCGAACTGTGTTGGTTGCCGTACTAGCCGGTAGTTCAGAACAATATTTTCGTTTTTCTTCTCTATCACCTGTATATAAGAATGAGAAAGGCGTTGTTGTTGTTGTTGTTGTTTCCCGTTCTCGTTGTTATAGATTTTCTTCTCGCACCTCTCTTTCTTTTCTAGAACGCGTGTTTATTGTACATAACCTTTTCTGTTTCTGCTCTGTCTCTTCTAAACTCATCATCATACGAAGATCTAATCACATCTGATGATTACGTTTATTTATACACTAAAAGACAATAAAACCATGTAAACCCGATTTGCGATTTCTTTTCGGTTGGATACGAGAAACATTCGTAAATGATGTTAAATACAACATACGATATATATTTCGAAAAAAAAGGATTTGATCGATGAAATAAGCAAAAAAAAGGACAAAAGACATCCATATATTCGAGAACAAGAAAAAAACATATACGTATATGTAGATTAGCTGATATAAATATATTGTCCCTCAAGTTTTTATTTGTTCAGAACAATATTAGTAACAGATCGACAAACGAAGAGAATATAAGAAGGTCTCTTGAAGTAGTTTTCTTGAAAGTCTAGTACCAATTGAAAACATCTGCTGTTTGTCCATGTTGATTTGCACGATTCTTAACGGCAATGTAAGATATTAAACCCCGAACGAACAAGAAGAATCCAGCAAATAGAACAATAGCAAAGACGAAGTTGTGTGCAGGATCATGAACGATGGTTCGATGATAAGGTGTGGACATGTTATTTGGTGTAAGATAGGATGAATTATTCAATTCATGGTAACGAACAACGGTTATCCATTTGGCGACACTCAAGCCAAAGCCTGACATCGCGCCGAAACGAGCAGCGATGGTCGGAATAAGACAAATAACGGCAAGAAAACCGATCCAGTTGAAAAAGAAAGCAATTATACTAAGTATTACAAAGAAGAATTGAACGAGTCTGGACATCGAAGGGACAGGGTACTTACAATGCCATAAGGAATGTACAATCTGTACCGATGTCCATGTTCGAACCCGATGAAAGCCAAGCTGCAATCGCTGCTTGATTATGATAACGATTTGACTAAAAAAAGACACACAATTATATGGAAAATCAACAGAGTATCTTACTGTTACCTGCTCGTTGCCAGCACTACTGTTCATATTTAGATCAATAATTTCAACAGGTGTTATTTGCGAATAATGTGGGATATGGTCCATATTGGGGATTTTACTTGGGTCGACGAGACAGTATGGCGGTGGAGCTTCAATCACACCTACAGCCTCATCTACATTACCAGGATTATTAGCACTAGCGTTTGATGATGGAGCAGCTTCATATGCAGGTGGTGGTCCATCTAATGTAAAATAAATACAAAGGGGGTAGGTTATATGAATGCAATTTGTCGTCAATATCGTACCTAATGGTGTTGCTTGCACTGTCGCAGATGCTTCAACATTCTCATGGGTCTGTGCAGGAGCAGGAGTTGCTGTCGATTGTTCGACAGTCACTGTTACGTGATTTGCATTATCACTCATCTTTGTTACTGACAAAAAAAAGTAGAAAACTGAAGAAAAGAATCTAAAATTAAATTATGAATTATCGTAATCGAATATATTTATATTTATATTTATATATAAGCAACCGTAAATGTTCCAATTTTTGTCTCGTAGGATGGTTTTTTGGTCAAATATCAGAAGAGACCAGTTAGAAAAATAGTGTATACATATGTATATATAAAGCAAAGCAACAAAAGAAAAAAAAAGAAACTGTTTGTTACGTATATGATAAAAACCAAAAGATATATAAGTCATAGGACAGAGATAGCGTGAGAAAGAGAGAACAAAATGAACAATTATAATCTGATTGCAATAGAGAGAGAGAGAGTGAGAGTGAGAAAAAACACAAAAAACCAAGAGTGTTCGATTTTATACAAAAAAATTGGAAGAGACAGATTTACCTGAATTGAACTCGAACGAGCGAGAAACAGCGAATAGGATAAGAAGGATCACTGTATTCACATAGATTGTTAATATCAAGAGATTATTTATGTGCGTTTGCTCCACTACCATTCGTTGTAAAAGAATTTGTACTATACGAACGTTGTAAGCTGATCATCGATGCACGATTATTCGGATGAGCACTGCCTGTAAATAGCTGTTTTTCTTGAGCTGTCAAATGAACGGGTGGATTAGCGGAAAAGAAGTGAATATCTTGGATACTATCTGCAAGATCAGAAACATTCACACCTAAGTTAGTGATATCACGATCGGTTTGAGTTAATTCACAACGTTGTTTTTCTAGAAGTAATGTGATTTGTCGACTACGATCATCGTTGTATTCAGCTAATTCGAGTTCCATCTAAACGAGATTATGAGTAGGACTTGGTCTCATTCTGTAACGAATCAAATACTTGTTCATTGAGTTTTTTCAATCGTTCTTCGATGTTGCGTTCCAACTGTCTTCTTTCATCTAAATGTTGCTGTTCCATTCGAAGTCGACTTTCTTCTTGTAAATTGAGTAAATTCCTTTGATCTTCATCAAGTATAGCCTTCAACGCAGTACGCTCGCGTTCTTGATCGGAATTTAATTTAATCTTAAAACAATCCATTCGAAAAACTTCGTCTCGTCTGCATGTCTGTCACTTACATTTTGCTGATCAAGCATTCGTTGTACAGCTTCTTCGTAACGTTGATAGAGCAAATCGAACTTCTTCCGTTGTTCGTCTTTGATTGTTTTCAATTTCAAATCAAGCTCTTCGCGTGAACGACTTGATGTAACATTGATATACTCAAGACGAAGATTTTCCTTTAGTGCCTTGTATTGACGAGATTGAAGATTATACGCTTCTTTATGTTGCCGTTTAATTTCCGCTTGTTTTATCTAACAGAAATATGTATGTACGATCGAAGTAGCACTAAACTGTCGTACTTTAATGTTCTTCGGAAATTGTTTTTGATTTAATGCGTGTCGTTTAACTAGTTCTTTTTGGCGACGATTACTATATTCGTTGAAATTGATCACTTCAGTGAGATGTTGCTTCTGCGTGAATTCATTTCGCGTTCTAAATTGAAAAACAATGACAAATAATTAGTGATGGAGCTTGAGCGTCTTTCATTTAAATCAAATTCTTTTTTAACCTACCTATGTAGATTCGCTAGTTGTTTCAATTCTAGTTCTTTGGTTAATTCATGATGCTTTTTGAGTAATCCGTGACGTTGCACGATCGTGTCCATACTTTTTGTACATTTCTAAAAGAAAATCTGTTTTACTGCGGAATGAACTTTCAAAGCGATATGAACTTCTTGAATTAGCTTCTGTTCGAGTGCGTGTAGTAACAATAATTTGCGTCGTTTGAGTTGTAATCTTCGAACTGTATGCTCGTGATTCAATTGCACTCGTAATGTCTGTTCGTCTTGACGTAATTTCATTTGTAGATCATCTTTTAATCGACGTATTTCGTCTTCTTTTTCTGTCTTTGATCGCGATGATGAATTTAACACTTCCTAGAAAAAAAGAACGAGTTCGTTTGAACATTTAAACAAGTGGTGTTCGTGTGTCTGACTTTTTTGAACGCTTCTTTCTTCAATTTGTATTGTTTGATCTGTTCCTGTTGAAATCGTTTCAATTCGTCGTCGAAACTATCTTCCTGTTCACGTTCGAATTTTCGAAAATGACTCTGATTATATTTGACTCGATCGGCTAGTTCTTTACGGTGCTTTTCTAACAGACGATTGTTTTCGAAAGTAATCTGTTCTTGAAAGGCATTGTATTCACGCTCGAGTTTCGAACGTAAATCATTTTTTTCCGTACGACAACGTTCTTCAAACTAATTAGAAGAGAAGAAACCTGAATGGACCAAAATTCTGATTTGACAGAGTGAAATGCCAACCTGTTTCAATTGCTTTTGATGTTGGCGTCTCATTCGTTTATATCCACGAAACTGCTCCAGTTGTTGATCTTCTTGATTATGTTCTCGCTGTTCGCGTATAACGATACGTGTGGTTTTTATTGTTGAAAACTCATTTTGATGCAGTCCGTTACGGCGGTGTTGAGTCAGTGGATATTCCAGATGATGTAACTAATTTGAATTGAATAGAAACTGGAGAATTTTCCTTACTATTGAGAGGTCGTCTTACATTTTTTCTCATTTGGACGTTGCTTGATTCATTCGTTTGCGTTTGGAATGATGATTGATTAGTATTTGACGATGGTACGATATCTGCCGGTGCGATTCTTCGATTTGCATTGATTGGATTCGATGGCATGCCACTGTAGATAGGATTCTGTATAGGTGGAGATGACGTTGATATCTGTTTATTCATAAGTAAGCCTTTGAAAACAGCTGAAGGTGGCGGAACTGGCAGTTGAAGACTCGAACCACTTGAATTCAAGCTTTCGTCATCATCCACATGAAGATCATGATTTCCAGAAACCAAATCAGCACTATGTGTATCTTCATCATCCTCATCGTCATCTAATGTTCGATCATCCTAGATTAACGAAAAATTAGATTGACGCCGAAAAAAAGAATTCTGGCTTTTACTAGAAGTTCATTTTCAATATTATTGGAATTATCTGTATCCATGTTGGTCACCTCTACAGATTGATGAAGATCTGCACTTGATGTATTATGTTCGTCATGGCCCATCAGAACTTTTTTCATTCGACGGTAACGTATATTATCAAATTCTTTCACCGCATCTTTCGTACGTCGAATCAAATCAATAAGACTTTCACGATTACTTTGACTTTTTATGAATATCGTCTAAAGATAAAAGAAATCAAGGATCGGTTTATGTCTAAATTCTGCAAGCAAATCTCATTTACATTGAGAAGTTCTTTTGCTGTTGGTCGTTCATATGGACTTTTCTTTAAGCACATGGCAATAAATAAAGCAAAATCACTTGTGCGCGTTTGATTTTCACTATTATTACTCTGTAACGTTGGCGGATCATTTTGTGCAATATGATACAACGCTGACATAGGATTCATATTGAAGAGAGGCGGCTTTCGTTCAGCTAGACAAACATTCATTCACACATTTTCCTTCTCTTAAAGAGCTAATCAACAATCATTACCAAGTTCGATGCAAGTGATTCCCAGTGACCAGATATCGACTTTACCATCGTATTGCCCATTTTCCATTGCTAGGATCACTTCTGGTGCGATCCAGTAACTAATTAGAAAATAGACCATGGCATGTGAATCGTACGATTGCTTTTTTAGACATACGGAGTGCCGACAAAACTATTTGCTGGACTGGTAAACGAAGCAGAACCAAAGTCAGCTAAAGAGAAAAACACAGGAAAGTTCAGTTTTGATCATAAATCATTTCTACGAAAATTACCCAGTTTGACAATGGCATCTTCAGTTAATAAAATATTTCCTGCTTTGATATCACGATGTATTCGATGTATCGAATGGAGATAATCAAGTGCACATAACGTGTCACATACAATTGTAGCTATTTCGCACTCAGCTAACGACTTTTTATGAACTAGAACGACAAGTACATCACGAGATATTGAATTGTCAATGCGTCATTTGATTAACCTTCAATCAAATCAGCTGCCGAGCCAAGACAATACTCCATGGCAAGCCATGTCGTATATTCTTTTAAATAACATCCACGGTATGCTATACAATGACGATGATTAAGTTCACGAAGGAAACGTATTTCTTTCAAAATATCTTGCCATGTCTAGAATAGATTCAAGGTAATAGATACACACACGGAGAGTCGATCTTTGAATTCTACAAACTTCAGGATTCTGTTTTCGTCCTGTGGACATCTTTTTGATTGCAACGATTTCATTTGTTTCCGAATTTCGAGCCTGAGCAAAAGAAATCAAATGATGATCGATTTTGCAACAAATTGCAACTTACGTAATAAACAGCACCGAAATTACCGTGACCGATCTCTCGGAGGTCCACGAATAGTTTTTCGGGATCATCGAGAGAGAACAGATTGCCACATTCACTGTCATTGGCGATAGCTTCTCTCGCTGAACGAGGCAGCGGCATTTCGAAATCGTATTTTTGTTGATTTGTTGTTGTTGTTGTTGTTGGAAAAGAAAACGTTGTCAAAAGATGTATTTACATCTAGAAAAAAACCGAATGTAAATATAACCTCATACGAATAATTGAGTTATTCATTGATTTCTTATTTTTTTATCGTTTCAGGTGAATGAATCGATCATTTCATCGCCATTTTGATGTATAATAAACATTTATTTTTTCTCGTTTTTCTCTTTCCTTCTTGGTTTAGGTAATCAACCGAATACTGAGCAATGAGTACTCTTGTTGAGTAATCCAGAGGGCGCTGCTCGACGGTCAATGATTTTGATTTTATAGCCACACTCTTCCTCATAGAAAATGCATGTTCCTTCAAATCTCACACATTGACGTACTTTTGTCAAACAAGTGATCTAATTTCTTATCTGCGCTCACTTCAATCTTTTTGTTTCTACGAATTGCTGATATGCAACCTTGTTTTTTTGACAAAACACCGTATGTTTTTCGTCACAACGGAACG